TCTGGGAGTTGAAGTCCACTCATCTTAAAGTGGCCAAGTTTGGACAACACTGGTTTAGACAATAAGGCAGGAGCCACTCGTTAAAATGTTCATGCTTTGAGATCATCAATTTGCCATAAATGTTTTTTTATAAACCAGGTATTTAAAAAATCCTACAGTATTTATTTAATAGCAAGGAAAAAAGAAGTACTGCTGTAATTTCTTTATAGTTTTTTAAAAGTTTATTTCACAACAATGTATTTAATTTGTTATTAAATTAACTTTTCCTTTTTAGTAATATTCTTTTGTTTGTTTTTGAGAGAGAGACAAGGTACAATAACAGATAAAACAGTTTAGTACAAACGGTAACATACACATGAATCTATATGCACACACACACACACACCATCTTCACAGTAAGTGCGTCAGAATCAAATGATTTCTTACAGTTCAGATTTAAACGATCAGACTCTCTTCATTATTTGGAGCATTACTCTACCATACTGGTGTGTGTGTGTGTGCATGTGTGTATGTCTGATTTTGTGAATATCAGATGCATTGAGAAAATTATAAAAATAGCATTCCTCTAGATTTGAACTAAATTGTTTGATTGAACCAGTTCTTAACCTTGGAACTGTTTAGTTGCAAAACTGTAGTAATACAGCAACAGTGCTTGTGTAAATGTGAGTCTTATATAATATAGTTTTGAAGCATAATTAACTATGATACAGATCCTACATTTTACTGTGCTAACAGCAGTGAAGTTCATGGCACTAAATGATTCAGACGGTGTGATGCCACAGATATTGCAACTGCTAGAGAAATAAAGGGTTTGCATGTAGGGAGTGGAAAGTTGCCCCTTTGAGTGGGATTAAAAACTAAGAAATGTCCTAGAGACCAGAGCAGAGGAAAGAGACCCAAAGCCAAGCAAACTAAGAGGGCAGGAAATCCAACAACAAGCAATGGGCTTAACAGGAGTTTAGGAAAGAAGAAATTTAGGAAGAGGAGATTAAAAAAAAACAAAAGATAAGCAATTGGGGTTACATGAGAGAGGGCTTGTTCTGGACAAGTTGTTAAGTTTAGGCCCTGACCGGGTTGTTGTATTTTGAAGAGATAAATAGAAGGGAAAGAGGGCCAGCTGCAGCACAATCTCAAGGCATCCCTGAGAGAGGCCATATGAAACAAGAAATAAGGGGTGTGTACACACATACACAAGCACATACATGAAATTTCACATGTTGATTTGGACCAACAATCTATTTCTGTTCCATTAGCCTTCATTTAACTTCTGTGTTATGGAAATCTCTCCAGTACTCAATGAATGGATCATGAAAGGTGGCCAAAAGAAGACTCCTTCAGGAATTTGTACAGGCCAAGCTATATGTGTCCAAACTGTGAAAGCAAAACAAACTGAAGGAAATTTTGTATTTTTCAGATAGGTTAGAAAATGTGTTAATTAAATGAGGATATGCTAAGAGTTTGAAATATTTTTAAAAATGGGTTTAAGAAAATGGGTTTATGCCATCCTTTCCACTAGGAGGCAGTGTCTCTACCCGCATAGGGATCTGAAATAGGAGTTCTTCAACAATAGGAGATACAATCCAGGACTGATATAGCTAAATATGCAGAGTGGTTGATTGGAGGGATTAGCACATGTGCAAGAACAAATGTCAGGATACAAGAACATCAGAATTCAGGAGGTAGACTTAGAAAAAGTCATGCAGGAAAAATAATGCAGAATTTTATTATGTATAATATATTATACATATATTATATGTGGGAGAGCTAAGAATTAATGAATGGGAAGCTGTTTTTAAAGTGAAATGAAAGCATTTTGTCCCAGATGACACCCCCTTTCTTATTCATAAGGGGTTGGCAAGCCTCAGGTTTTGACAGTTTTTATTTTGAGCCCTTCCTCTCAGGAAAAGTCTAATCATGAGAAGTATTAATTTTTATTGGAAACTATAAAGTACATAGTTAAAATGCATAGTATTAATGGGCTGGAAAGGAACTGCAGTTAGACAGCCCACATAGTCCCTGTATTCAAACTAGGGTAGATTCTACCATACCCTAATATTGCTTTTCTTCTATGCTTAATTACAGTGGATGTCCCCTTTCACAGCTACCTATTCCTGCAAAACGAAACAAAACAAAAAAAAGCCATGAAATGTCCTCATTTTTTATGTAAGTTGGGGTTGTTGGTCCTCCACCTCTAATAGATCGATTTAAGGTTATTATTTAATGCACAGTTGAGTCACATTCTTCTGACGAGCAGCCTCAGCAAAGATTAACATTCTCATTCTCCATGTGGTCTGAGTCCTCCAACTCAATCCCAGGAACAAGGTTGTAATAATCTACTGACTGGTTCATGTAGAGCTTCTCACGGTCTGCTGAATCTCTCAAAACATCTGTTACACTCAATGTCTCTGCTTCAGGCTCCCCATCTATCATCCCTTCCTCTTCAACAGCTGGTTTTGTGGTTCCCAATTTGTCTTGGTCAAGACTTCTACATGCCAAGGAATCATCAGAAGCCCCCAGTTTGATCTCCACTTCCTCGTAAAGGTCTCTGCTGCTACCCAATAGTGCAGTCGAAGGCTTAAGCAAAATTTGGTTTCTCAACAAGTTGTTTTTCTCATTCTCCGCAGCACCATGGATAGGCATGGCATGTGGGATCGAGCACTGACGATCATCTGATCTGTTGGTACCATTCTTCTCCACTGTAGCCAACTGGCATTCCTTCCTACCATGAAGAGCATAGCCTGTCTTTCTCTTCTTTTTCTTTTTGTGCTTGCAAAAGTAACAAGTGACTAAGACAAGAACAGCGACCAGAGGTAGGCAAACAAACAGAGCTGTGAGTCTATGAATCTGGCACAATTCTGTTTTGGAAATGTTTTTGATATTTATGCCATGGTAATGTTCTGGGGTGTGACAAACAATGTCAAATGAATTAAGGATATATTTTCCAAGACGTTCAAGGAAATTGCAAGTGCAGTCCCAATTGTTGTGAGAGAGACCAAGAGTGAGGAGAGAAGGTTTGAAAATCCCAGAAGGAAGGGAAGATAAGTTATTGAAGTCAAGGTAGATCTCCTGGATTTGGTTAGATGTTTCCAGAAATGACTCAGATAAATTCTGGAGTTGATTGCTCTCCAAGTGAACAACATGCAAGCTGGGTGCATATCTCAGAAAATGATCTGGGAGCCAATTTAATTGGTTATGGTCCAAGTACAGAATCTCCAGGGTAGAAGAATCAACACTTACATTCTTAATGTGTGATATACCACAGTTTGATAGGTACAGCTCTTTCAAGCCTACAGTTCCAGCAAAGATGCTCCAGTCCAAAGTATCAATTTTAGTCCTTGTGAAATTCAAACAACATATCTCAGGAACCAATTTGGTCCTAAATTTCTGGAAACTGATATCTGTGCTGCAGTTGCAGGACTTTTCCACTGCTCCTAATGTAAGTTGTATTGTTAACAGCATCCCACCAAAGAGTATGACTGTCCATCTCTTTTGATCTAAATCAAAAAGATGGCAAGTATTAGACATTTTGCACAGATTGACATTATGGATTGCAACTAGAAGTCAACACTTTCTTTAGTTAACTCACAGATTTAATGAACAATGATCTGCCAAATGCAATTATTCTAAACTGGATTGCAATAATTTACTTCACTAACAATAGATTACATCCAAATTAACTGTACTGATAATGGAAAGTCTCTTTCCATTCAGTTATATCTCCCACGGAGAAGCATTATCCAACTTGAGGTGTAGCATCATAAAACACTGTGAAGCCAGTCTGTCTATATGATTACTACCATTATGGGCTGTGACTCATAATATCTTGTAATGCCAGTGGATGACTCTCAGAGAAACTTAAAACTGACCAATCCAGGGAACTCACTGCCCTCCCTGCACAAGTCCCTTCCCCTGTTCACAGCTCTTCCTCCTGAGAAATATATTTTTTAATGCTAGTGGCTTGCTTCCTCCACTCCTTGCCCTGCTGTAGATACAAGACAAGTCCTTTCCATTAGAAGCCAAGTAACTGAGCTCTGAAGGAGGCAGGAAGGGGGAGCCGTGAATTAATGAATGGGGAGCTGTTTTCTGGGAGGGAAAGAGATACTTTAAAATGAGTGAATAAGTAAACAGAAGCCTGGCTAGGTGTTTGCAACTCTACTAGGAAAGGTGTGTCCTTATCTTTGACTGATACTGCAAATGGAGTGTTATTGTGAAGGGAAAAAAAACTTTTTTTCTTTACATTCCAGAAAAGATGTAGCAAGGCAGCCTTCTGCTTGGGGAATGCATCATGTGGACAGTGTACAAATTTGGCATCAATGAAGCGTTTCAATGCTACAGCATGCCACTTGCACAAAAAGGCCCTAAGTAGTAATATGGTTTGTTTTATTTCGGCTTAGTGTGTCAAGTTAATGTAGCCACTAAGTGTCTTATAAACCATAGCTTATAGTTTAATGTACTGCACAAATCCAGAAATAGGTAGCTTATTCACTAAATCATAGCTTAGATATGAACTCTGCCAGTTTGGACTATCCATAGCTGGCTCTGCTATTAAGCAGAGCAAAATAGCTGATTCATGCTGTATTTGCTACGAAAGCAAGAAGCCATTCCAACGATCCCCCTTATCTTCTCTGATCATCCGTCTCTCGTTGAAGGGTAGAACGGTGCCGCACAGCCTGCCTTGAACTGTTTAAATTAGCATCCTCCCTCAGATACATTGAGAGCATTCTCCTGCCTGTTGAAGGAAGATTCCACTTCCACTTCCTATCATGCAACCTGGCAGCAACCTGGCCCTTTCTGTTGCTCATCTCTCAAATGCTGAAGGGTTTTGGAGCAACCTCTTCTAATGTCAACAAATAATGACTGTATACCAAAGGAACTATGCTGTTTTGCAAACAGCAACCAGTTCTCTCTTGTTGCTAGGAAATAATCACATCATGATAAGTTGTGGTTGGTTTAGGCTGTAGCTGGTTCCACAGATAGCATTAAGCCAGAATGTGATTTCTGTGACTTTGACTTAAGATGTTATCTGAACCATAGGCAAGCAAATTTATAGGCTTTTTTCCCATGAGGTAAACTCCAGCATAGATACAACATTTAAAAGTTCCCGATTAATCAAGAGCAGATTAGCTCTTTAACCACTATATTTCTGCAATATTACTATAGAAATTATTTTAGAGCCTGCATCCAGGAACCCACAGAGTACAACAGGATGAAACATGAAAGCATTTAAAATTTTAAAATGCAGTGTATACAGAATGCACTAGCGGATGAAACAGTAGCTCAAAAACTTCAAAAGACATTGCAGGCCTATGTAAGATAAATTGCTGGAAAGTTTTGTTGCAACATGCAGGAAGGGCTAATTTGCTTTGTGTTAGCATCTCCTAATAACTTCCACCCAGTTTTAAAGGAGAGTCAGCTGCTGCTATGATTCTGTAATGTTTTCTTTCTGCCATTGTGTTGAATCGGAAGCTGTGGTACATTGGTCCCTGTGCTGGAGACACTGATTTAATCTAGGCACCACAGGAACAATTAGCAGGCCTTGAGCCGGAACAGGATCCCACCCTGGCTCTTCCTGACCAATGACATCAGCTTTTCCTTCCCAGGCATGATCCTTAAACATCCATGACACTTAAAATAGCATATTAAGATCAGTAATAGTCATCTGAAGTCAGGCAGCATCGAATTGAATGAGGGAATAAATAAGTAATAGTTTCTAGAAGAAATTACAACATAGAGGGAGAAACCAATTTCACTTTTAATGTGAAGTCACATCAGTGTTGATGTTAATGGAAATTGAAATATGTTCATGCTAGATGCTTTGGACTACACCCATTAACCCAATTAAACATGGCCAAATAAAAAAGGTGTTATGGAAGTTGTAATCCAAAACTTCTGGGTGGTATCGGTTGCCTACTTTGAAGAAAACACAGATAACCTGACATGAGATTGTATAATTCAGTACCCAATGTATTGCATCAATTTATGGTAGTCAGACAAAAATAAATAATTAATGGGAAGGTTCTTGTGGGAAAGGTATACCTCTACACTGCCTGGCTGTTAAAATCATGGATTTTAAATGGATTAAACTATCCATTCCTCAAATGGGGTTTTGCTGTACAATTTCTTTTGAAGCATCTGATTCAGGATATTCAATCTGATCGGTGATATTCGCAAGGCAGCCTGTGATCCCTTTGTTTACAGTTCTCTCATAGCCAGCACTACCATTATGTGGAGCAAGCAGGCACTGGCATTGGCAACAGTTCCTCTTGAGCTGCTATCCTAATGTTAGTGACGTTTGCTTGTTGCTGGAATGGACCATTGGTGTCATTTGGCTTCTTCTCAACATATCACTGACAGTGCTGCTGAGAAAGGACCCTGACTGAGCAAGCAGGCAGAGAGGCAGTGTGTTGCTTTTGCCGTGTAGCACATGCTGATGTCTATTGCTGCAATTGCACATTTATCTGAGCAGAGAGCATGCAGAGACGGGACAGTGATATATAAGGAGCAGCTGTTAAAGGATAGTTTTGTCTGTATTACATGCTCTTCTCCCTGTCCCTAAGATGGGCTGCTGTCCTTGGGTGCAGTAAAAGATGGTATCTCCTCACTACTGTTGATGACAGTCAACTGACAGCTAGTCTGCTTTTCTACATACAATGGGGATTTCAAACAAAGTAGAACTTGTCCCCCAGTACTAAGCCTTCTGAAATATTTGTGTATCCCAAGAAGCACAAACTGCCTTGAGGTAAGCGAATGACTCACTGATCCACTTGTTAGTTTCCTGTAAAGCAAAAAGCTACCTCAGTATGTTTTCTGGTTATATCTAGATGGGCAGGAAATGGTTGCCTTCAAAGCAGAAACAAATACTCAGAATACTCATGTCATGCTAGATTGCATTATTTTATGGGGTAGGTGAATGAATCATGGCTGAACTCCCTGATCCCTACCACTTACGTTATAGTAAAAAAATTATTCTGCTTCTGAAAAGCAAGTTAGGGTTATACCCTGAGAAACTGCACAGGTCTTGTGGATGGTCGCCAGTATCTCCAACTTTAAAGCTACAAGCACCTGCTAGCTCCTCATCTTACAAATGCCATTGAGAGGGGAGAGGCATTAGATCAGAAATACATTTTTTCTTATGTGATCAAGGAGCCAAACCCAAATAAACCGCAGAATTCACTTTCTTTTCTTCTATGATTCAAGAAGGTGGGTAAGGAGGAGGGGAGAATGAAGTTTTTAGTCTCTCAGTGCTCCTCTGAGAAGACAGGAAACTCCTAAGGCTAGGGTCCAGCTCTGAAGCCAACAGGAATGTCCTTACTAGCAACTTGTTGGAGGAAGAGTTGAGGCTGCAGACACCTAATACACATGGTACAAATTCTGTTTATTGGGGGCTCCCCTAATGTCAAATTCCATGCCACCAGCCCAGACCTTTTATCTGGGAAGAAAGTTGACACCTAAAAAAAGAGTATCTCAGCAGATGCAATTATTTTAATGCAAATGCACCCTCAATGAACTTTGTGCTGTTTCCACTGCAAACTATAAAATAGCCCCATATCTTGAATAATGAAAAATACTGCCGCCAGGGATCTGCTGCCCTCTACAGCACCGGAAGTGCAACCCACCAGAGAGAATAACAAGTCAGAGATTGTGGGAAACAGCAGACAGAAGTGACAGCGGTTGGAAAGAGATATCCTTTTTATTTGCACATACTTCATTCAGCCAAGCAGGAGCGATGACAGCCTCTTTATTTCTTCCTTCAAGACTTGAGCACCATCCTGAAAATCGGCCCGGCCCGTGGCATCTTTTTATTTTGTTTCCTCTGGTGCATTTCCGTAGTCATAAGGTGCATTTAAAGCACTTTTTTTTCATCTCTCCCCCCCCCCCCCCCCCCCCC